GCTCCTATCCACTGACTTTTGATGTTTGTAGCCATTGTAAAACAATGTCATCAATTGTTAATATATGTTTCAAGTTATTGTAATACAATGATGAACGTCTTCAATTTGAATTGTGCGTAATTATTTATGTACTAGTTGTGCTACAAGTCCTAATCAGCTATAGGCACTGCTTACAACTTAGAACTTTAAGCTATTGGCACTTCATAATAGCTTGTTACACCCTTATCTGGTGAGGCATGTGTTTCCTTCGGCAAAGCTTTAACTGAATACATATTTTCTTCCAGTTTCATTGAATACATGTATTCGGTTAAACAATTAACACAAGGATCATAACAGGAACTTGAACACAATGCTTACAATATATAACTTACAACTTAGAACTTATAACTCCAATATAGCAACTTACAACTTCAAAAAATCAGTTAGATTAATATGACATCCAAATCCAGTAATTACATCACCAAAAACATACACACCAAAAACAGTAATTACATCACCAAAAACTTACACATCCTAGATCATAATATGACATCCAATTTCAACATTCAGAACCATCATTAACGGAATACTAAATGAGAGAAAACTATCATTAAGTTTGTAGTAAATACATCACACACAAAGCACAAAAATTCCAGCTTTGTCTTCATCCCCTCCCCCCCTGATTTCAGCTACCCATTTCTCTCTTGCCCTTGTTTTTCAACTAATTTACAGTTATATTAGCTTTCACCTCCCACTGTAATGTTGGTGCTGAGTATGGCAGATCTGTTGGAATATTAACACTAGTGTAATCACTAGTGAAGTTGATTGACCTTGTTCCAGCTGGTATTTGTACATGTTCTCATCATGAGCCTTTCATTGACTTCTGATATAACTCTTGGCCTAAGAACAACATCTTATTCATGTCCAACTGGAAACTCAAAGTCTTGATCCATACTTGATCGTCCAATACCCCCAACTCTAGGTGTTGGCATGAACCTAAGACTACTGGCCTGACTTGGTTGAATGATTTAAGGTGTTGAACAATTGATATCATGTTCAACTTGAGGTGCTGAACTGTCCTGACTTATTTAAGTTTCATGATCTATCAAACAACTTGGCATCTTCCTCTGCTACTTTCCTTTTGATTTTGTTGCTTCAAGTGTTGAACTGGTGACAACCTACTTAGTTCTTCCACTATTTCTTTGCCTCTTTCCCTTTGGTTGATGTTAAAAAGACAAGTTAGAAAATACAAATATGTCCTAGCATTTAAAACTTTAATGCTTTAAAGTTCAAATTGTATAAACAATTACCTTACCACAAGTCCTAGCATTATGAGTTGTTTCTCCAAAATTTCTACAAGTCATGATTCTTCCTTTTTAGGACCATGACTACACTCTTTCTCTTTTAATTGCCTCATACTTTTGCCTATCTCTCTTAACATTAGGTCTGCCAGCCAACTTCACAAACTCTGGTGGCTCCATTGCTTGAGATGGTTCAATTTTTCAAAACTTTTCTCTCTTACCAGGCTGGATCTTGTGTCAATAAGTCAGCAAAAGTACTGTAACGACTCGGTCGACCGTTTTTGTGTAATTGTACCATATTACCTTTTCTTTTTATGCTTTACACATGTGTATTTATGGTTTTATAACTTGCGGGTTGGTCAGTTTTCCGGAAAGCTTTCGAGTTGTTTTTGGACCCTTTGATTTTTAGCTTAGAAACCTAAGTTAGAAATATTGATCAAACTTTGACTTTTACTAAAATCACTCTGGAACAGTATTTTGATGGCTCCACTAGCTTCGTATCATAATTTTGGACTGGTAATATGCCCGGAATTAAATTCGAAAGTCCGTAGTTTGATTTATGATGTTCTTCCAAAATTTGGCAATTTGATGATGAAAAGTTTAACCGTAGGTTGAATTTTAGCTATGGAGTTTTGGATTTGATTTTGGGACTTGGAATAGGCCTGTTATGCTATTTAGAACTTGTCAGTAAAATTTGGTATCATTTGGAGTTGATTTGATATGATTCAGACGTTTAGTTGTAATTATAGAGATTCTTGAACTTTAGTTTGAAATTCATGCGTTTTAGTGTTTGATTCATAGTTTTAGATGTTATTTTTATTTTTTATAGCGCGAGTGAGTTCGTATGATAATTTTAGACTTGTGTGGATGTATGGTTTGGAGCCCCGAGGGCTCGGATGAGTTTCGGACATGTTTCAAAATGGTTTTGAACTGAGATGAACTACCGGTGCTGATGGTGCTCAGTTATCGCAATTGTGGGCACCAACCTCGCAATTGCGAAGGTGATAGTGGGGGCTCAGATATCGCAATTGCGACTTCCCCTTCACATTTGCAAAGTCTGTCGACTTTTGACTTAGTTTGCATTTGCGAACATTTCTTCACTTTAGTGAGGTTCATAGATTCGCAATTACGAAGACTCTTGTCACAATTACGATAATAAAGGAGGCTGTCAGTGTTCGCAAATGCGAACCCTGTGTCGCAAATGCAACAACTACAGCTGGTACAAAGGGCTGGGAGACGGGTTTTTTCAACAAATTCTCTCATTTTAGAACTGTAGACTCGGTAGAAGGCGATTTGGAGAGGGGATTTTTATCTACAAACTTTGGGTAAGTAATTCTAATCTATTCCAATTATATTCCATCAATATATCTTAGATTTCAACATCAAAATTATGTGAATCAGAGTGAAAAATTGTGAAACCTTGTCAAGTTTTAGAAAAATAAGAGTTCGAGTTTTGAGAGTCGGTTTGGACCCGGCTTTTGAAACTAAGCACATATATGAACTCGTGGGTTCATGGATAGTCAGAATCTACCATTGGACAAGGGTTTGGACCGGGCGGGCCTCGGGTTAACTTTTGTTGACTTTTTGAGAAAAGTGTAAAGATCTCAGCTTTATCTATTGTAATTGATTTTTCTTGCATTGTTTGATGATATTAAGTCGATGGTTAGATTTGATCCGTGTGGAGAAGAATTTTAAGGGAAAAGCTATTTCCGAGAGTTGAACTGGCCTAGTTGAGGTATGTATCTTTCTTAACTTTGTGGGGGGAAACTACCTGTCAAGTTGTAATAAAATGTTAGGCTTACCTAGTCGTAGAGACTAGGTGTCATCACGACATCCTAAGGAGGGAAATTGGGGTCGTGACAAATACCTCCTTGTTATACCACTGGTTGATTTCTATCATTGGCTCACCATTGTTGTGAAGTATAACTTTAATAGTGTTTACCCTAAAAAATGAGTAACAACTAAAATTTGTACGCGGTTCAAAGGATATGTGATTTAATTCAATACGAATGATCTAAGAACAACAAGTAATTAAATTAAAAATAAAATGGAAGATGAAACCAATTGTAATGTTACTACCCAAAATCCACTATAGGTCGTGATGGCGCCTAACGTCGCCGTTAGGCAAGCAAACAGTGAACTACTAACTTTATTGTTCATTTTATTATTTTTAAAATCATGAATCCCACTAAAAAAGTAGAGTAAAATCTGGCACTCATAGAAACGTGTGCTTTTCCTTACCAAATTCTGAATATAAATACATCATAGAGTGAAATGATAATAATAACGTGAACTACAATAATGAACATCTACTAGGAACCCCCAAAATTCAGTGTCACAAGTGCATGAGCATCTACTAAAAAGTACAGTACCAATACAACATCTGTCTGAAATACAAGATAAACAGGATAAAGTAAATAATTATGATGGAGACTCTGTGTTGTGAAGCGTAGCATGGAATGAAGCTCACTATAAAGTCCCCTCTACAGTTGCGCCTACGCACCTAAATGACCGCCAAATAAACTTGTAAGATCTTGCACATTTTAGTGCGGAAGTGCATCATGAGTACGTAGAGAGAGCTTAGAGAGTTCTAGAGTGAAAGACAAAGAAGAGAAAATGAATGAAATGAGTTTTTTGAGTTATATTTTACATGTTAATTTGGATTGAGTATCAAGTAATATGGATTGAGTCGAGTCTAAACGATACTAGAGGGAAACAACGCACGAATGACTGCCACGTGGCCCCCGTCCACTTAAGGATAAATGTGTGGATGGTAAGACAGTTAAGGGTTTTATGGCCTGATAATATAACGGGAACAAATTTAAACAATTTACAGTAGTATAGATACATATAAGACCATTTTCCGTATTAAAATTTAAGCCAATGATATGAAGTTTGACTATGACATCTTAAACTTCAATTTGAACTACCACATTGTAAAGTCACGTACCAACTCTCACGAAAAGAATATGATATTGGGTTTGGAAATTGCCACGTGGCAGGAGGAAAGTCTAGTTTGTTTAGTTTTTGGATTCACACGTTACAATTATAGTTATTTGGGCAAGAGTCGTTCAAGAGTTTAACGAAAATAACCTATTTATTCTTTCAGGATAGGAGTAAGGTTGTATTCATCTTATTTTCCGACCCCACTTATAAAAAATCACTTGATTTATTATTATTGTTATAATTACTTGGGCAAAAGGAAAGTTTAATTTGTTTAGTTTTTGGATTCACATTTTATAATTATAGTCAAGTAAGGATAACTTAGTTTATTAAAAAAAGTATTATCCTTAAAGTTCTAAATATGTGGTAAAGGTGTAAGCATTACAATCTTATTCAATATGCAATTGCTTTTTTATAATAATAGTAACTTTTGGATTTTAAAAGTATAAAAGTCGATTGACATATATATTAGAGTTAAATCAAATATATCAAAAACTTGAAAGATAAAGTAATATATGGACTCTTATGCTGAATTATCAAAATAAAAAATAACGGAAATTTTAGATTCGACTCGATTACGAAAAGGATCACCCGATTCTTTGTGCTAAGAATCTACTGATTCATGGGTATATATAAAAAGAAAGGTCGGTACTTAAAGTCACAATCCAATGAAATTAAGTAGTGATGAAATAATTGCCAGCTTGGACCAATCAAACCATGCCGGTGAAACTGCCTTTTTCACAATAGGGTAATTTCGTAGTTTTATTATTATTCTGTAGAACAATCCGAGTTGCTTTTCTCTACTGCTAAGCAATAGTTAGAGAGAGAAACACAAAGGAGAGGAGAGGAGAGGAGAGAGAAAACTCGTCTCTTTGTGCAAGCCGAGTGATCGTCGAAATCACTTCTTTTGCGGCTTTTGATTTTTAGTCAGTTATACTCTCTTAACGTTTTACTTGCATTTATCGATTTCTCTGATTCTATATATTACTTATCTGCTTATCTCTCACTTTCCGTGTAGAAATTTTGATCGGTTCAATTTTTTGGTTTATTTATTTTAGGAATAGTAATCAACTAACGGATTTTCAAGTGTAGAGACTAATTACTTCGATTTTGGGAGATTACTTTTTATTTTTGGAAGCGTTTGGATTAACAGAAAGAAACCCTAGTTTTGATGGCTACAGCGGCTCCAACTCCGGCTCATCATTCTCACCGGAATAATAACCCAGACACCGGCGCCGGCGGTCTCAACAGCCCACAGTATCATCGGCGATCATCAGCCGCTGCGCGTGGCGTTTCCTCGACTTGGACGCAGATTGTTCGCAGTGGCGAATCAGAATCCGCCGTGGCGGCGGCTTCCTCTTCACCTCCTCCACCTTCACTTTCTCCTCCGGCTTCTTCTGAGCAAATCGTTCAGTCTGATTATACGCTTTCTGATGACGTGGCTACAGCTGGTAGTGCTACTACAGAAGCTCAGCTTGAGAGCTCTGATAATAGCAACAACAATGTGTCTAAAAAGCAGGCTTGGAGTAAACCGTCAAATGGTGCAGCTGAGGTCAGTCCAGTTATGGGTGCTGTCTCTTGGCCTGCTCTCTCTGAGTCCACTAAGGCTTCACCTAAATCGCCGTCTTCTGATTCACTCAAAGCTCTCTCTGACGGATCAGTTTCCGTATCACAGGTTATTAAAACCCCATTCATCAATGCTACTTTTCTGTATACATTGCTCTAACTGATTTTTGGAATGAAATGGATATTGAGGATTAATAGGTTATTAAAACCCCATTCATCAATGCTACTTTTCTGTATACATTGCTCTAACTGATTTTTGGAATGAAATGGATATTGAGGATTAATATAGCCGATCCCAACTACATTAGGATCGAGGCATAGTAGTTATTATTGTTTTTGCTCTATCTGCACTCTGATTCTCAGTTTTCGTTGTTTTATTTTGTGTGTGTCATATACTTATGAGTTAATAATCCACGGTAGTTCTAAAAGCTCATGTATATGTAAATGTGTGGATTTGTAGGGCACGGAAATGACATCATCATCTCATAGGCAAGCTAACACTAACAATGCAAACCCTAATTTAATTTCGAACCATGTTGGTCCCACCCGCCAAAGGTCTATGAAGCGAGGAGGTGGCTATTCAAACCATAATGCATCAGCCAATGGAGGTTTTCCTCAGCAACAGGCGCAGGGTTCTGAGGTGGAAATAGTAACTAATAATTCTGGGAAGTCAGGAAATTTTGGTGCTGAGTCTTCTTCAAGGGATACTAGTCATAGGGATGGTGGACAGTCGGGAGGATTTGGATCTCAATCACATGGTGGAAATGAGCACCAACATCAACGAACCTCAAACAGGAGAGGCAATGTTGGTCCACACCCCCGTGGAGATGGCACTTATAATCATGGTTATGGGGGTAGGCGTGATCAGGAACGTGGAAATCAGGATTGGAAACCCCACAGAGGTTGGGGGAATAGGGATGCGCCCATGCAGCCACATAGAGTTCCAGCAAGGCCATTTATGGGAGGCCCACCTCATACTTCTCCACCTTTTATACCTCCACACATGCCTGTGCAGCCCTACCGAGCTCCTATGGTTTACCCTGGTGAGATGTGTTACTTCTTGAGTTATTTTGCTGAGTTACTAAGCCCATTTTGTCTCTCTACTGATACTTATACCAATATGCAGAAGTTGCACCTGTATATTATTTTCCAGGTCCACTGCCTGATTCATTTAGAATGCCTATGCTTTCTCCTGTGCCACCTTTCTTCTTTCATGTTCCAGATCCCCAGATGCACACCAAAATAGTGAATCAGATAGATTATTATTTCAGGTAGACACTTCTTTGTTCTATTTGCTTGTAATTGCTCTTATTTAGTAGCTGCCATAAATTTATTGGTATTCTAAACTCTTCTTGTCCCTATATTTTGCTGTAGTGATGAAAATTTAATTAAGGATACATTCTTGCGACGGAACATGGATGAACAAGGATGGGTTCCCGTTACGCTAATAGCAGGCTTCAAGAAAGTAAGTTGGTTTGAATTAAATGTCATTTCTCGTAAGGGGAGTTCTGTTAGTACATATGTGTTTGCTTGATCCTTAGTGCTTGGCTGATATTTTCTGTAGTACGAGTAGCTCATTCTTTTGAAAATGCATCTCCATAGCTTAATTCATGTTGTTGTCGGCAACTGTTAACAATGTTTCTGAGCCTGGTTGATGACCTTAGCTCCTTTTTAGGGGTTAGGAAGCGCCAATGATATCTTTTCCTCAAACAAGAGGCCTCTCTGTTTTTACTCTCTTATCAATGTTGTTTTCTTCCCCTCTTAAGAGTATTATGGGAAAGAAAAAGAAAGTAAACTAAAACTAATGTGAACTTCTAACTTCTTCCTTAGGGAGAAAATATCCCTGCATAGTTTGACCCTTTTGACCGGATAATAGAATGAAGAAAGAAGCAGTATCTCAGGATGTATAGGCTTGCTGATTGCAGCTATGATTCGTTTTGTAGTAAGCATGTCTTAAGTGTATATGAAGTTTTATACGCGTGCTGTTGTTGGTTGTTGATTTAAATGCTGTATTTTTTCCACAAAGCTGTTCTAATTTTGGTCATTTGAAGGCTGGCTGGTATAGTGATATGTGGTTGGACTGAATCTCTGGCATTGCAATCGATTTCATCAGTAGTTAGTAATTTGTTGTTGCAGTAAATATGTCAAGCTACATCAGCGTCCTTATATTATATAATGAACTCTTGAGCTCATGGAAAGTGGTTAACAGATTTGTGTTTTGAAATTGAGTGATTCTAGCAAGAGGTCAGTGACCACCATACTGTGCTTTCATGCGCACTCTTGGTTAATATATTATCACGTAAGTGCGCGCTGACGTAATAATGTCATTAAACCATTGGTTCTGCTTTTTCTGTCATTTGTTCCATGATGCAATTGTTTCTTCACTAGGTTAGATGTCCATCCCCTTATTTATTCTTATTGCTTGTAGGGCAAGCCATTTAGGATAGGCGCAGTACTTGATCACAGTCATGATAAGTAGAGTTATTCAGGGTACTATGCATGTCAGCATATGCATAATTTGAATACTTAGCTTTACAGGTTATTCTGTTATTTGTGGAGTCTATAGTTAATGGTTGGTTGATTCTGAAGTTCTTATTCCCTTTACAGATAGTTTTTATCTGCAGATCACACATTCTTATGATTGATAGTAGATATTAGGATGTGTCTTAAAACAAGTAGCTGTGGTGAGTAGCAGGTAGACAGAATGTGTTTTGAGTGCAAAAGGGATCCTAAGTACTCAAGACCAATCAGATGAACAAGGTTATGTAAAAAAGTCACAAGCATAGCACTCTTTGGAGTGTGGAAGTTATAGCTATGTGTGCGAATCTTTCAAATGTGACTCTTTAGGTTAATTCAAGGGTTTATTGCTTTCAGAAAGGGGTGAAGAAGGCAGGAATACTTATAGTGATACAAGAGAGGTGATTTCTGTGGTGTAGGTAGCATCAAGTTCTTTGTGTTTTAAATGGAAGAACAAATATGTTTTAACCTGGATAATGCAAGAAAGTCTAGGAAAAAATTGGAGGTACACAGAGCAGAGGCAGGTTTTCTTGAAGGTGAGTTAAATTTATTGAAGGCTAACAATTGGGCGGAAGTAGCGCAATTAAAAACTATGAAACAATGAAGCAATGTGAAGCAAAGGGTTATTGCTTCATGCGTAAAGTCATGCTTCAGAGAAGTTTGCTTCAAACAATGGCGTACAAAGTGATTTCGGTCTTTTTTTGGGAATCTCTCCTTTGAGGAGTTGGATTAAGATCATCATTATTGTACAATGGATGTCGAAAGTAGTTTTTTTAATTCCATTTTATTTTTATTGTACTACTCTCTTAGATGTTTGATACTTTATAGTTTTCTTAAATAGTGAGCTTCTCTCCATGCACCTTGTCGCTTTTTCACCTTTTTTGAGCTTTTAAAAACACGGGGACAAAGAGGAGACAAAGGTGCTGATAATGAGCAATGTAAACTTTGGAAGGGTATGATTTGATGCTGTAAAAGAGAAAGAGACTCTGATCTGAAATTACTACCTGATTGAGGCAAGGCATGAGTTGAAATACTTATCAAATAAAGTCATCAGTTGAAATAATGATCTAGTAGTAGTAAATATAAATGCATTAAAAGGAGTCTTCTATTTCTTACAAAAACACTAATCTTCCCTAAACATGTTTGCTAGGAGAAGATAAGAGATCTGTGATTTTGTGAAGGAGTTAATTAATTGAATGAATATTCAAATTGGAAGTTTAATTCTTTACCTTATCTTTTCGGAAGGAGAAGATGCGAAAGTTGCTTCAAAGGATTTAACTAGAAAGTGGGTGAAATTTCGGATGGTATTTATATCTTCTCTCAATATTTTCGAGTTTAAGTTATACTACATTGAAACTTATCTATGAGTAGAAAATGACTGTTTGCATATGACATTCCTGGTTTCACCAATGTTCTACATTTTGTGTTACAAACTGGGCAATGTTGAGTGACTGCCTTTTTGATGGAATGTTGATGCTCTCAGCTACAAGGTGACACTACCTGTCATTTCTTGCATTTTCGGTCATATTACTATTTTCTTGTTATTTATGCTGCTTTTACATGTCTTCTCGGTGTTGTCCCTTCTTGTTTTTCTTTTCTTTTCTTTTTCTTTTCATTAATGTGATGCTTATGCTTTCCTGAGCCGAAGGTCTATTGGAAACATCCTCTCTATCTCCACAAAGTAGGGGTAAGGTCTGCGTACACACTACCCTCCGCAGACCCCACTATGTGAGATTATACTGGATATGTTGTTGTTGTTGTTGTTCTCAGCTACAAGGTGATCCAACCGTCAGTACATTTCTTGATGGTTATTGTTGGCCCTGCTTTCTTGAACTTTTGTTGCCCACGGAGTATAAATTGAAATATCAGTATAATCTTTGCTCGAAGTTATTGACAGCTGAGAATCATACGAAGGGCTGTCTAAATATGTCAGTAAATAAGAGAAGTGAGGAGATGTATGTCGTATTGATGACTTGACGAAAATGGAATACAAGACACACCTATTTATATTGAGAGATAACACTAACTCAAATTTTCTGACATGCTTGTGCACTAAATAGTTTATATTCTGAGATACTATAAAGGATTCTAATCTGTTCAACATTTTAGGGAGTTAGCACTTGACTGTATGCTTTTAGTTCAATATGCTGTTTTATATGTATAATCATGTGTTTGTGATAGTTCTCACTTCTCTATGTCCTTATTGCTGCGACTGAAGTGGTATAAGGTGGATGATAAATCTTTTGGGTTGAGTGAAGGCGGAGGGAAAAGTCTTTGGATATCCTTTCAGATCCATGTTTCTTGATTTTATCTTAGTGTGGCCTCCACTTACATGCGTGCCTTAACCACTCTATGCGGTAACTTTGTTTGCTGTAAAAAAGCTTATTTTCAGCCATTTTTGCAGGTAATGCAGCTGACAGATAATATACAACTGATACTCGACGTTATGAGGTCCTCTACTGCTGTAGAAGTGCAGGTATCCCTTCTATGGTTTGTGGTCTTTATAGACCTTTAGTTTCCACTTTCTTTGGCAAACATAAAAGGAATTCTATGTTATATTTGAGTTTTTGGCAAAGTGCTTGTGTTCTAAAAGAATGGAAACTTAAATGCATCAATGAGCACTTATTAAAGACCTTAGAGATGTGAACATGGAATCTTAAGTAGACCTAGTTCGTGTTACCCTTGTGAATGGTTTCAAGTATTCAATTTCCTTATACAAAGTCCACCACATTCTTCGGAATAGGTCCTGCTAGAAACAAAATAATGGTTTGTAAATCATCCTTGTTCACAGGTGCTGTTTGAATAATATAGTGTCTTTCTGCTGATGCCTAGGCTGATTGAGATATTTAGTGCTTCAGAATTAGGAATTTGCTTAAACCACTGAGTTTTGAACATGTGCGCCATTGCCCCTCCGGGATTTCTTGGTTATCACACACACAAAAAAAAAGAGTTGAGCAATTTTTCGGTTTAACATTTTTTTTCCATGAAAATACTTGGGTATTATTTGCATCTACCCTATTGCATGGACCTATTTAGGTGCTTTATGCTTCAGAACTAGGAGAATGGTTTTAAGAATATTAGAATTTAGTATAAAAGTACTTTGGTAGTATTTGCCTCTTTAACTGTTAGGGTTTTAAACTTTTTCTTCCTTGCATTGTAGGGCGAAAAGTTAAGGCGGAGAAATGACTGGAAGCGTTGGCTCATACCACCATCAGTTCAGAATTCAACCATGGCAGGTCCTCAATCTCCACAAAAGTCTAGTCCTGATTTTCTAGCAGAAAATCTCCAACGTGTTGCATTTGATGATAAGACTATAAGACACGGAACTGCCGAAGCATATCTTAGTATATCATCATCTGCTGAATTAAGTACTCCATCTGAGCGGTTTGGCAACGAGATGGGCGGACAAGCTGGTGCTCAGCATGTGCAGCCAATGCCAGTTGGAAATCCAAGTTAAAGAGTTTACTGTTTTGTGGTGGAGTTAAGAGTGAATCCCAGGGTTGGTAGCTATTGTGCTTCTTCAAGCAATCAATTAGTATAGTCATTACTGTTGCCGATGGCAATGACGTTTCAGGAATAGACACACAATAAACGAGAACAAAATGGGGAAAAGAATTATACTGTCATTTAAGCTGGCAGCTTGATTTTGTTGGGATATGAATTTTGTTTTGTCGGGGATAAGTGTTTTCTTTTCCTTTTAAGTTATGTTATTCCTCTGTCATGGTTATTTCACAGGCATGGGGAATTTTGATTCTACTTCCTCATGCAGCCCCTCAGTTTTATTTTCTTTAACCAAAATTTTTTTGGGGCTAAGGTCACTTATCTTTGAACGAGTAAAGCTTATGGAAAGGTATGAAGTTTCTGGCTTCTGATTTTTCTTCCTGAAAAGCAGAAGACTGGTGCTGGCCCTGGGCACATGATTATCTTGTTATTGGCTTTCTGCTTGTTACATTGCACCACTGACTCTTTTTTTGTATGTATCGTTTTCCCAAGAGGCATGTGTTGCCCTAACAAAACTTAATAAGCATTTTTATGCTTGATTATGATATACTTGGTTTCTTTTCTTCGTAAAATAAGGGAACCATATACTTGTGTGCTTTAGGATTTTGTTGTCAGTTAGTATATTGAATCATACGTGATCACCTGATTGCTGATACAAATTAGGCTTTGTTTGGTAAGAAGGAAAATGTTTTTCTTGGAACATATATAATATAGGGGAACATTGTGTGCGACAAAATGGGTAAGAGCAGGAAGGGTGGTAGGTCGGGGTCTACGGAGTTGGGGGTGGGGAATTGAACATTTAATGGAAAAAGACTAAAATAACCCTGGCCTAAGTTTTAATGATGAAAGACCAACATGTCGAAACTTTAGCTCATATAATGTACCAGTCTCTAGATGCATATCTCACATAAATCTTTAGTCTGTTATGTGAAAGAGCAACTGAAAATTTCATTACTATTATAGTTTTCAAGAAACTATATTTTATTTGTATATGATTCTATTTTTGTTAATGTTGGGTGCACTTATAAATTATGTATTTTTTCCTTGATGATTTACACAAAAATAATTCTAAAAATTTTGTTGATTTTTATAACCTTCAAAAGTTTGCTAATTTCTTAAATAAGATAATTATATGTTGGATAAAATTGTACTCCAATATTTAAGACTTTATACTAATATTTACTTATCTAGTATGTTGAAAACAACTAAGTTTTTGTGTCTATATAAGTAAAGTTTTATACGCTTCTGACAACTCAAATCAATTCTCAAACGGACTCCTTTTTTAGTGTCTCTAGAAAAAAGAGATTGTTCTCTAACTTGTTTACTCTATCAAAGTAATCCTAAGACTCCTTTTTTTTTCTTCTATTAATATATTTAAAATCAAAAGTTTAGTTTTTAAAAACTTACAACTCATCAATCTAAAATTGGGTGAGAAGAACAAGGGTCAGACGAATACCAAATTAAAACTTAATAAGAGATGACGAATTAAAAAAAAAAAATAAATAAAAGGCACCAAGCAGGATGACTTTGAATCAATGGAACAAAACTATATGTTCTGGTTGTATGTTTGGATTATAAATGTAGAAACATATACAATACAAATATAAAAGGGATCATTTGCAATACTACACAGAGAATAGTTATTAATGTAAATTAGGGGGTGTACATTCGATTTTTTTCACGCTTTGATTCAGATTATTTGTTTGGTATAGTTTATCGATTTTCTTTGTACACACCTAATGTAAATACTAAATAAATACAAGGTAAAAAAAACATAAAAACGTAGAAACTTACCTAATATATGCTTTGAAGATTGGATTCCAGATACATAAAATTATCAGCGGTGTGGCTCAGTTAACTTCTAAAAGTATGTAATTACAGTGGGTCCTTAATTTACTGAATAACTTCATAATAGAGCATATAGCTAAGAAGTTCCAACTTAATGGGTATTATTATCTGAAATCTTACAATTTTATCCAATATTGAATTGTTTCATTTAAGAACAAATAGAGCTTTCAAAGGGCATAAATGTCGATCGATCAATATTTCGGGGATATTTTTGTCAGTCAACATTTAATGTTTGACATTCGTACTTTTATAATATTATAGATTATAGATTATAGATAGATACGGGGTGCTTAATTAAACCCATCTTCATTGTCGTTGTTCACTTGTTCTAACATATCCTTTACTTAGTTGGTTGCCTATCTAAATTTTTACCTTGTTGATAATGGTACGTTTTCCCACATTGTAATCCCCTCCCCTATTTTCTGTCTACCCCTATCCCAGTGTTTTTTTTTTAAATAAACAAATAAAACATATCTGTCCGCGTGGAAAATTCAACATTTTTATTTAGAAGGGATGATAACACAATTTTATTATCTTAATTTGATTAAACACAAAATTTAATGAAGAAGGCAAATAAAACTTTTGAATCTTGTGATTTAAAAATTAAATTTGTGTATAATATACCAAAATTATTTTTTTGAATCTCATGATAAATAAATATATACTCCATCCGTTTCAATTTAAGTGAAAATATTTCTTTTTTAGTCTGTGCCAAAAAGAATAACTTATTTTCTTATTTGAAAATAATTTATTGCACACAAAATATGTGTGACTCATTTTACACCACAAGTCAAAAAGTCTTTCTCCCTTTTCTTAAAAAGTCTTTCTCTCTTTTCAAATGAATTCAAATAAATTGAAATGGAGGGAGTGTGTGTATATATACTCGATCAAAACTGTATATCAGCGAGGGACGGAAAAAACCATGGAGAGCACACCAACAAAATGGTAGAAAAAGGAGAGCACACCACAGTGATGACGGAGACAGTCGCCGGAGATGACGGAACCCTAGACCGAATCAGCAATCTTCCGGAGCAAGTCCTTGTTCAAGTTCTCTCTCTGTTACCCATGGAGGATGCTTTCAGAACGTGTCTTCTCTCGAAACAGTGGATGTACCTCTGGACTTCTATTGATACTCTCATTTTACATTTTGCAAAATCTCAATCTGAAGAAATTTTTTACATTAGAGTTGTTGAATTGTGCGTTTTCTGAAGAAGTTTTTATATTTTGGGTATCTCTGAAGACAATGAAGTTTTGGACAGTTGAGTTAGATGATGAATTGATTGTGAAGATTCTATTTGGTTGTCCTGCTTTGGAAGCTATGGGACTGAATGATTTCTATGGTTTTCATATTCTGGAAATTGGTAGGAGTAATAAAAATTTGAAGACACTGAAGTTGCACAACTTTTGGCCGTATTATGAAGAAGGTGGTGATTATCATTCATTGGAAATTGCAGCACCATATCTTCAGCATTTGAAGATTTCAGGACATCTTTTAGATCCTAAGTGTGTTAGGACCGAAAAAAGTCAGGTGTCATGCGGAATGTAGCAAAGCAAACGTTGAACGACGATAAATCACACAACAAAGAGAAATCTACCAAAAGAGACACAAATATTTTAACGTGGTTCGGTCAACTGACCTACGTCCACAACGGAGATGAGCAATCCACTATAATAAAAAGAGAGTACAAAATATCGAGAGAACAACCTCACGAAGAGGCAAACACAAGTGACACACTGACACTTGTCCCGTAAAGTTCTCCCCCTAGACACGACTCTCAAGCCCCCTATGGCTACATTGTGGATGCTACTGAAAGTGAAGGAAGGATCCTCAATTTATAGAAGTACAAACCTTTTCCTACAAGAAAAAGGACTAGCCAAATATTGGAGATTTATAATTTCCTTTTACAAAAAGGAAAACCCAGTTAAGGTAATTATATTGCCCTTTTCCTTCAAGAGATAGTAAAATCAAATATGGTAAGAAAATTATGGCAAACACCTAACAAAGTGTAGGCTACTAGATATGTCTTCTCTGGTCAGTGCTGAGCTTACTGAGGTCCAGGTGGGTTTTGGACACGTTGAGGATGATAGTTGTCGCGATTATCATGCTGCTTTTTGCACCCTCGTTGAAGAGTATCTTCATAAATTGGGACATGTAACAGAGCTAACGATTGGGACTTGGTTTGCAGAGGTTTGTTATTGACTCAAAGTTACTTTATAGTTGCGCTATATGATCCTTATCAAGCAGTTGCAGGATGCAATATAATATAATTGAAAACATCTGTACACATGAAAACAGTAGTTTTGGATGTTTTCTGGCAACTTCTGAAGTCAGATAGTATTTCTTTCCTCTACTTGCAAACAGTAGTTTTTGAGAGTAGCATTTCCTATATTTTTTGTTCCCGTTTCTCTGTTTTTTGACTAGTTTCAGTGGGATAACTGCACCAGGTCCTGTTCAAACTGCAGCTTGATAATGTGCAGCTTCCAGAATTGAAATGCAAGTGCCTTACGCTAAAGTTACACATAACAAAGTATAATTTGTATGGAGTAGCTAGCCTTTTGCGCGCCTCGCCTCATCTGGAGACCCTCAACATAGACATGGATGTTGACGTAACTTCCCACATCTTTTTTCTTTTGTCACTATAAATTTTTATATTGATCTGGTCATGACTTTTTTATTCTCCATTGTGAATGACGCTCTGAAAGTAAAAAGGATAGCTGACGAACTCAACCTCTTTCATTGCTTGCTTGGTTTACCTTCTTTATGAATCATTTGGGTAGGAATTTGCTATTAATGATTGCGAAGAACCAAATCCGTGGGTTTTGAAATTATGAGACACTATTTTTCATGGAAGTTGACCTGCATTTGATCCAGATTATTTTGTCTATATCCAGGTTAATTTTTTGCGGTGCCACTATGAGTCAAGTTATTTGTGCCAAGGAGATAATTTCTATCTGGATTGTTGGATTCCAAACTTCGCATTTCCTAGTCTCAAGAGTATTAATATTTGCTGTCCCATTTACCTGGGAGTGTGACAGACGGAGAACCATGATAGGCTTTTTGAACTTTCTAAATTTCTGTTAAAAGATGCGATGGCTTTGGAGAAGTTCGTTATCAGGTCAAAGAGAAAATGCTGCAGCTTGTGTTCAAGATACTGTGTCTCCTCATATTCATCAGGATTGGCTGCGAAATTGTTAGGTTGCCCAAGACGCTCCACCAAATTTGTGATGATTTTCCAGGAGTCCTGATCTTTCATGAGCAGAATTCAAGTGGTTTTGTTTCTCGGCACACCAGAAATGGCGAGTTATGTTTTATCTTTTGATTTGCTGCTGGTAAAATTTTGAGTTTTAACTTCTCCATGTAAGTAACATGTTCTTTTTGTGATGTTACGCTTATGGCATGCCACGTGTTATGGATGCTTGATATCTCATTTAGTGTTTGTTTGTTGCACTCTAGACGTTGTAAAAGTATGTAGAACACAGCTTTCTTGGATATGGAATGTTGCTTTTTGGCTTAATAATTTGTAGCCGTTGTGATTCACAATGTTGTTGACTGCTTATGCTTGAGTAGAAGTCATGGTAAGTTTGCTTAATTAAATCTCTGTTTGGTCTTCCTCAAATTTCATTCATCAGGCAAGAGTTGGGGTTGTAAAAGTATGTGGGACACAGGTTTCTTGGTGTATATCATGTCAAAGAGTTTTTATAGGCTCCTTTTGATATTCTTCTCAATTCTTCTTGTACCATATGTTCAGATCCTCCCCTCTTGGAGATCAACCTGTTTCCTAAACAAATATATATGAGTTTTCCTCATAATCAACTTTTTCCAAGTAATCAGCAATACTACATCTCTTGACCTGTTTTTCTCCAGAATTGTTATCCTTTCAGCTTCAATTTGATTATCTTTTTCAAGATTCATACTCTTTCCCGTGACCCTGTATATTGATTAAGTTAACACTTAACGAGTAAACAATTAACAATTAACGATTCAACTGGCGATGGTGTAAATAGGTGAATGCTAAATTGTATGTCAATAAACAATTAACGAGTAAACTCGCAAAAAATTTGGTTATGTCAATATATGTTTTTACCCTAGGTCAAAGCTCAAATCCAGGCAACTTAGTATCTTTTTTTTATTTGTTTGTTTTTTCCTTTCCAATTTGTAGTTAAGCATCTGAGTTGTTAAAATGAAATTCTTCAATAAGATAAAACTACCGTCTAAAGCCAAAACTATTTACTTGGCTATTTTTTTCTTTTCTTTTTTGACAATACTTTCATCAACTAATGTGGCTCAGATGGACTCGTTTTAGATGGATTGATCGCTTTATATCACTTACACACCATGCGAAAAGAATATGTATAACATTGAACGAAAAGCTACACGCATGTTCATAATCTTCTATTTCATTGTTGCAGCACATATTGGAGTTTAATTTCCTTGTATGGTTTTGAGTTTTACCTCATGAATTAAAATTTTGAGGTTGAATTAGTCCTCAAGTTCAGTTTTTTCTTAAACTCTTTGGGGAACATTTGCTCGAATGGCCTTTTTTGACGATACTATTTAAATGCTATTAACCTGCGAACTAAAATTATCTACGAAAAGAAAAATTCATCAGAATAAATTTTAAAGTTGGAATTTAGCCTATTGAGTTCCCAGTGATAGAATTCAAAGAGGCCTAAAAGAAGGCCATACTATGTATATACTCCGATTTTTTGATGGCAACATATTCATGCAGTGAATCAACAATGATAGTTTGGTTGGTAGATCTCTTTCAACAAATATTTTTTTTTTTAACACTTTTTTTACTAGCAAATATTCTCCCACAATTTATTTATTAGAGAAATTAACTTAAATAGCCGTTCATCACAAAAGATAGTTTGAGTATATAATTTATGTATATTAGTAATTGGACTCATTTGGATATTTAGTTTGGGACCCGAGGGGCCCGGGATATTTCGTCACATCCAATTAATTTGGAATAATGAATTCTAGTGCATTGTAGTGCACTGTGATCGCGTGCATCAGGGGCGCAATGTGCGCGATCCCAAAGGCTTAGACCCATGTGCATCGCGATCACGAGAGGCACATTGCGGTCGTGTAGTGAGCTGACTAGCTATCTTTCACGGTAACGTGGTCCAAGCCCGCATTCGCATAGGAGGTGCGCTGATTGCTCTTCGCGATCACATGAGTTCCAGCCACGATCGCGATGTAAAAATGGGCTTCAGGGGTTATTTAATGTTCAGTTTCTATATTTGAGCTCTTCTTATCATATTGAGGCGAGTTTTGAAGGGATATTCAACTATTGAAATTAAGTGTTCTACATTTTATTTGCTTATATATCGTGATTTCTCATTAAATCTAATTCCTAACACATGAAATTTGAAGGTAAAAATTAAGGGGTTTTGACCTAAAACTAAGAGGGTGTAATTCGATGATTTGAACACTGATTTGGACTTAGATTGGAAATCTTATTGTATATTATTGTATATTTTATACACACCTTGATGTGATCTTGCCAGTGAGTTAGCCGTGCAAATTTAAGAGATGCATGTGAGCTGTCCATGCTATTTGCGCGTGGAATTGGATCATTTACTTTGGGATATATACGGGGTTATCCATAGAAACCAAAATAATTATCCTGATTTTACCCATACAAAATAATTACACGACCCTATCCATATAACATTTCGGTAGATATGTATACTATTATAGTATATTGTTGCAATATAATTATATACTCTATATATTATAGTATACTCTTACAGTATATTGTGATATAGTAACGGTATACTGATGGGTAACTGTGTTTTATTTAAATTTATGTTGAAATTGTAGATTATTATAGTATATCGTTCCGGTATATATGTATACTATTACAGTATACTGTTGCAGTATAACTGTATGCTCTTACAGTATATTTTGATACCGTGGCGGTATATTGTTAGGTAAATGTGTTTTTATTCAAGTTTCAGCTGAAATATTGCATATTCTTACAATATATCGTTTTGTTAGCTCTTTTATTAATTAAAAGAACCTTATTTTATTTTATTTTTTCTTTGTCACTAGATTGTGTATCATATAGTAAGTCATAGTAATAATAATCTTCAGAGTTAGATAATCGCAGTATGTGGTCGAGGGCGGATGTAGCCTTTCAAATACGAGTTCGATTGAATCTATAACTTCCGATACAGTGTATGAATTTATATGTAAGAACCTAATAAAATCTCAACAAGTACTAGATTTGAACCCATAATTTTAACAGTATAACGAGTTCAATGTTAAAATTAAAAGTTGAACCCATTAAATTTAAATCCTGGATCCGCCTCTATATGTGGTTGAAGAGTTAACTTATTAATGGAGTTCATTAACGAGACATTTTGGATCAGGGGATCTTGATCTATGAATGCATGAAAGAGTACAAAGATGCTCCTGAAGCCTTCAAAGTTCAAACAAAAGCACATATGCTGAAAGGGATGAATAACGTGCTATGTAGAAATAAACAGGAGAGGAAAAACCCAAAAAGACATAAAGTAATCACCGGAAGAAAGGGAAAGTCAAGGAAAAGTTAGGATAAATAGAAAGAAAAAAACAGGAAAGAGAAAGCACAAAAAGACAAAGAGTAATTAATAGAAAAAAGGGAATGTCAAGGGAAAGTACGGGTAAATATTTTTGACCGCATGGGTATATTATGTAAAAAGTTTGAAGCGGGTAATTAGTTTCTCCCAAATGGACATTTTGAGTAGATTTCCCATTTATTACTTTAGAGTCACTTGATCACATGTATTACTTTTGGTAGAGTCTGCATAGGTTTATTCGACACAGAAAATATCGGGGCATATAGAGTGTCAGTTGTGATTAAAATTTGACTCTTTATGATGCATATATGATTTTGGACTTCTGTTGATGCATATATTTTATGTTGGTTTATTACTAATTTCTCGCCACGTGTATACCGAGTTATGAAATATATACTTTATAAAACAACATTAATATTATTAAAATAAATATTTGAATAAATAAAAATACACAAAAGAATAAAATACAAGTATGTGTAAATGATCAATTCGTCACATATTCCTAGGACCTGTAATGAATGATGCCAAAAATAATACACTTTGACCAACCTTTTCTCCTCTATTGATAAGGCTCAAGGCCATTGTAATAATCCTTCCGAATTGCAAGAAAACCATGATTGTCTCATCAACCAGTATTCTCATTAAACTTACTATGAAGAAACTCTTGCACATGAATCAATACCTCTTTTGCCCGTGAGAGCTATAAAGTTACCCCTACACAGTAAATGTGGGCATTTACTAATTAAATTAGAGCCATCATAAACTTCTTTAACTATGACAGTGCTCCTGACACCTTTATCAGTGATGTAAATATACCATAATGTTTGATTAAGCAAAGCAAAAGTCCAGTTGGTAAGATGTCATGCTCTTTTCCATAGTCAAACTGAGGAGCTCCCGAAGCTGTGCACCAATCTTTTTTGAGCTCTGGGATCAGCAAGTCCAAACCTTCTAGTATTAAAATATGGAGAAGCCTAAATGCTGCAGGATAACTCAATTGAAACATAAAAGAACCTAAATAGTTTCCATATTTCAATAGTCTGGCCTGCCCTTTCGAAGTGAGGACCTCTTCACGTACCGGTCTTCCTCCCGGGTCCCAACTGCATCATAGCTCTTCCCTTTCAAAGAAAAAAGAATTCATCCTCGAATTCAAACCTTGAAAAATAGAAAACAGATCAAGTATCAATATGCATTCATCACCAAAAATATGCATGACAAAATAAAAGAAGAAAATGCCCATGTATTTTTCTTAAATCAATTTCTTCTAGGCAACATAAAGACTCGTCTATAATTTATGTGCATATCATCATTATAGAGTCATATAATTCCCTAAGTAAGCACATAATGCACCTTTTATGAGCTCATCGAACAAGAAAAATGATTTAGATAGACAAAAAAGATAAGTATACTCCATGTACAAACTATATTTAAATCTACCAATATTTTATTTCTCAAACTACATGCCATGAAATGTATGTATCAAACTCAAAATACTATAAAGACTTTCTAGCATAAAGAGACAAACCAACCAAGATAATATTGATTGAAGATTTCCTTTCTACAATAAGCCTACGAGATGAATTGGACCTCAGCCCGAATAGCACTTCCCTGGCGGAGAGATTGAAAGAACGAGGCCCCCCCTTTTCTTTTCCTCCTGGCCGTGTGTGGGCCACACTTCAGAAAGACCAAAAAAAGGGTCTCCTATTTCTCGTCCCATAAACTTCCTAAACAAATGTTTCCGACATGCTTCCCAGAAAAGAGCAATGTTATGATAAACCCAAGTATCATAATATCCACTAAAGTCTATTCTTTCAAGAAATTCAATACTCATTTGGCATGAAATACACACGAGGATATAAAAAAAAATGTTTTAAGGAGAAACTCATATGTCAAAATTGATTTTATCAAAAAAGTATTCCAATCCATCTTGCAAATCAAGACTCAATATTATGTGTGGTAAATCAAATACAAAAGGTTGACAAAGCATTCATTTAGCACAAGTATCTCTAGAACATGCATCAAATTGAACACTCTTATGGTAGAGCTAAGCATATCCAAAATCAAGAAATAGCATCTCTCCAAATGAAGTAGCAATTACTTGGCTCAAAAGAAGACCATGAAACTAATAGATCTAAAGATTAACGACTAACTAATTAATGTTTTATTCAAGCCTTCTGAATTGCACATATACTTCAGTTGGAAATCAGTTACACAAGAAGTTAAAAGTACTAAGTATAAGGCAAAAACTTAAGATTATTATGATAGAAAATATCTTTCCTAGTAAATGAAGATGTCTACAATATGTTTTAGGAGCTAATACAACCATCACTATTAAATGCTTAGCTGATGAAACCTTTATGCATTTACCCTTAGCTAGAATTTCCAAAAAAGTTCCTCCATGGTCCACCATATAGCTTTAAATTCTGCAAGCAACCAGTTGATTATCAAAAATATTTACCAAGCCACAACACTACATACATAGGGTGTAAAATAAATTACTTTATCAATTCATATTCTAATGCACTATCATTGAGCATAAAGTATCGGCGATACCTGTATCGGCCAGAGGCATTAATGTCTCGAAAAATATCATAGTTCATTTAGAATGCTACAATACTGGGCATCCATAGGGTTTAGCCTCTTTCATGTCCTCCTCCCCCTGCATATTATTTTTATTGCCATCCTCAATCCCTTTATCCGACCTTGTTCCTTCACCCACAAAAGAAATTCAAGTGAAATATTTATAAGTAGTTTATAATATTCCCATTCGTAAAGCCATATAATTTTGCTTGTCACTTGAAGACTAGTTACTTTATTGTGTCCTGGTACTTTATTTCGTTTCCCAAGCGCAGTCCTTCCCCATTGTTTCTCTAGATCATTCTGAAAAATTCAGTAAATCTTTTCTCTTTTCTTTTCTATTATTTATGTGAACAAGAAACTGTAAAGTGTGGCAAGAGAATGATATGAATTACCAGATCCCGGATGCAAAAAGAATGAACAAAAAACGCCAGAATAGTATTGCACAAAAGAGAAGTATGGTGTGTGTTCTACCAAGACTCTGACCGCCATCCTCAACAGCCACCAACGTGAATAATGCATACCCTATATTGATTTTCGAAGCACCATTATATAATGGCACACCGTTTTGATGGAATAGTTGTGACTATTAACATTGAAAATTAAAAGCACAACAACTATGTATATGCTTTAATCAGCTACAGGTGAAAACTTTTCAGTTTTAGTAACTAATGAACCGAACATACAACCAAGAAATCATGCCTAATAATATGGTAACTTGATCTATGATACAAAAACAATGTAATTTAGAACTTGTATATGAAAATCCCAGCTTTTTGTAGAAAAAGATACTGACTCTGATTTTTTTCCTTTTCTAATAAGATAAATAAAGATAAAGACACAAAATTCCAATACAATAAGTGATGAATTGAACATAACAACTACAGATCATGCAAAACACCATATTAACTTCATCTTTTATGGAAAACATTGTTACCCCAGATGTACAGTGAAGAGGAATAAAGGACAGTGCAATAACATGGTTTAATACAGTTAAAACATTTTTATTTAATAATTCCCAGAAAAAAAGAATAAAAATTTTATATAACTTGACTTGCTTGAAGATAAAGACGCAAACTTCCTAATCGGCAAAAAACGGCAATAAAACAAAAACCAAATTAAGAAACCAAAAGTCCAATAATTATCAAAAATCTAAGCAGCAATCACAGACCACAAGAATTTATGGACTGGTTTGAGAGAATTATCCCTAATTGAACTTACAAAAAAGTTTAGCGAGACCGACAAAAAATCGATTTGAGGTCTTTGCTTTACTTCGTCGGATAACCTTCACAAAGAGTAAAGAAACACATAAATTGCTAGAATTAGTACATGTGCACCTGCATGGATATGAAGGTCTGAATATTTTTCTTGCCTATATTTGGTACAGTTTGCAGAAGAGTTGTTTGGTCTCGAAATTTAGAAAATAAGCCAATTCGGAACATTATCATGGGGAAGAAACTTAAACGGTGCAACGCTTGGGAATTTTGAAGGAGGGGATTGTTCAGACAAGCTCGTATATGTAGGTATTATTAAAAATTAAAATAAATTTAATTAGACAAGGGTAGATGATGTTGTTGTGCATATTTTATTTAAGTTGTTTATGTGCTTTTCTTTCTATTACAGTTATGTATAGGAACTGCACAGGTTAATGAAATAATTATTTTGACTAAATTCTCGCATCTGCTTTATTGAGACAATCAATGATACTTTCTGGGTACGTATAGCAACTACTCTATTAAAATTAATATGAAAAGATATTTTTACCCTTTCCTCCCTTGCTTTTCTTCCCAAACCCTCGCTTATCTCTCTGCATCAAATACATTGGAAATAGGTCGCTTTTCCTGTGACTTCATCTTTCTGCACATTGTACTCGACCAAACGATAACCATGATTATCAACCATTTTTGTATAGTATATTCCCGTTCGCCTTGAGAAATATGAAGTTACCCCACGTTGGCTTTCCAATCAAAGATCCCAAAGTTTGGAATCTTCATGATGTTATTCCATGTAAAGCCAGTTTTCCCATCTTCCTCTAATGCCCAAATTGAAATTATCCCTTCGACCCTCCAGGAAATGCAAACACGATTAGCAAAAGCACGCAATTTTAGTATATCCCAATGCTTACCTGGAGATGTGTAATTTGACATCAATCTTATATGTAAATTGCAATTATTATTATTTTTTATTTTTTTTGTGAAAAGATACAAATAACGTTTGGTTTTCTTCTACGTTATGGATACTGAACTTACAGTTACAAGTTCAAAAGTTAAGGACACTTGGTCCTGAACTTCGAGTTCCAAGTTCAAAAGTTAAGGACACTTGGTCCTAAACTTAGAATTGCAAGTTCAAAAGTTAAGGACACTTGGTCCTGAACTTAGACTAACAAGCTCAAAAGTTAAGAACAATAGGTCCTGAACTTACACTTACAAGTTCAAAAGTTAAGGACAGTAGGTCCTGAAGTCCTGAACTTAGACTAACAAGCTCAAAAGTTAAGGACAATAGGTCTTGAACTTAGGCTAAGAAGCCCAAAAGTTAAGGACAATAGGTCCTGAACTTAGACTAACAAGGTCAAAAGTTAAGGACACTTGGTCCTGAACTTACAGTTACAAGTTCAAAAGTTAAGGACATGTAGTCCTGAAGTCCTAAAGTTAAGTTCAAAAGTTAAGGACATGTAGTCTTGAAGTCCTGAACTTAGAGTTCCAAGTTCAAAAGTTAAGGACATGTAGTCCTGAAGTCCTGAAGTTAAGTTCAAAAGTTAAGGACATGTAGTCCTGAAGTCCTGAACTTAGAGTTCCAAGTTCAAAAGTTAAGGACATGTAGTCCTAAAGTCTTGAAGTTAAGTTCAAAAGTTAACGACATGAGCAGAAGGGTATTTTCGTCCGGGCAGTTAAAGTTTATTAAAGCAGTGGCTAAAGACTAAAGACATTTTAAACAATGGCTTAAAAGTAAATACATGTGTTATTAGTGGCTAACCGTGCACTTCCCCCAAATTCTGACCCTAGTATCAGCGGCATCCAGAAGGGAGCTTGGGAGCATGTTTAGAGACTAGTGGTGATCTACTTGAGCTGCTTCACAACTTCATGGAGTCTCTTATGTCTCTTTTTTTTACTATTTCATTCTATTTAGAAAGAATTTGTATTTTCTCAGTCAGACAGTTGTACTATTGCTCCATCTTTAATTGCTCACGACTTGTACCACCAATTCCTAGGGGAATCGTATTAGTAGTTGTAATAACTCAACCCCTTATTTTGAGCATTTATTCTCTGTTGATTAATTTGAAGCTTCCTACATGTTCATACTTTATTTTAGAACTCGTGTGCATGTTTGATTTAGATCGCGGGAGGCTCGTATGAGTTCGGTACCATAGCATGTAACTAGGGAACTTAAGAATTTGATAAGTTGACTTTAAGCCTAGATTTTTAGTAGTTGAGATTTGATTCATGTTTAATATTCAATCGATTCGTATGATGTTTTGGGATTGGTGAGAACGCTCGCTTTGAGACCCAAGGAGCTGGGGTATTGCGTCACTATTGTATGTAATTTAAGTTTTAAAGTTCATAAAGTCGACTTAAGGTGTCATTTTGAGTTGTAGCGCTTAGATTCATATTTCGAGACCTTAGATAGGTTTATATAGTGCTATTAGACTTAATGTGATGGTTTGGAGGGCTGCTAGAGATTCATGTAAGTTTTGACGCGTTTGGAACAAGCTAGCACAATGCAGAAATTATTGGTACTAGTTTCCTTCGTCGCGATCGCGTCGGAATGCTGTGATCGCAAAAGTATGAACATGATGGTCATCGCAGCCGAGATGGTAACTTCACGACCACAAAGAGGAAGAAAGGGTTCAATGATCAAACCACCATCAAGTGTGCTATGCGACCACACAAGGGGCTACGCGACCTCGAAGCCGGAGGAGCCAATACATCACGACCGTAAGGGTAATGGCTTTGATCACGAAGGGTACTTCTGTAGCCTATAAAAGACTGATTTTGAATTTCAGCATTCATTTTTACTAGTTTTAGAGATTTTGAGGTCGTGCATGGGATTCGAAATAATGAAGTTTTGAGCTAAGATTTGAGGTATGGATGTCACGACCTAAAATCCCTATCCGTCGTGATGACGCCTAACACACTTTCTAGGCAAGACGAATATAACCATAATGAACCAAGATAGCAGAAATGACATAATTTAAGATCAGTCTAAACCTTAAGATAGCATAATGATACCAATACAAGATAAATCCTATATTACTGGTAAATACAAAGTCATGAGCTCTAAAACGGAAATACAGGTCTGAATAACCAAATACAATACTGTCTGAAATAAAGACAACACTACATAAGAAAATAGACGCCAAGACTGCAGTCAAGAATACAACTCTACCTCGTCTCTCAGTGATCAGCTCCGATGTATGCCTCAACTACCGATGACTGGGTCTGATACGTGGATCTACACAATTAAGTGCAGAGTGTAGCATGAGTACAACCGAACCCATGTACTCAGCAAATATTTTAACTAACCCCAGAGAGGTAAAAGAAGTAAGAATTATAAATGATACTTGTTATAACCTGTACAATTCATAAATTCAATAAGTACAGAACAATAATATCATCAAGTCATAAAGCGCAGAAGGATCCATCTGTGTGTGTGTGTGCATAATTACCCAAGTACTCTACTCAGTCAATGATCCAACATATAAAGATAATATGAAAGTAATTCAAGTAAATATCCAAGGAAATTGCAAGTAAAGATGAAATACAAAATTCAAAACAAACACTGACTAGATTTTCCTCAATATTTCCATATCCGTACCAAATTACTAATCAATTTTTCTCATCCGCGTGTACACCATCAAGTCCCTGAAAGCCGCCTGGAACTGGAGGAATCAACACTCAGTAGCGGAACCAACAACGCCTGAATCTGCACACACGGTGCAGGGAGTAATGTGAGTACTCCGATCCAGTGAGTAACAAATATAAATAATGGCTGAAAGTAAGAAATCACGTAAAAACACAAGGCATTCCATACTGAAGCAGTAAAATCGCTTAAAACAGTAAAACAGTGAAAAGCCGAGTGAAAATCCCCTTTTCAATAAGTAAAACAAGTAATTGACAGGTAAGTAAACAAATAGAAATTCGCCCCTTGGGCACAGTATCAACAAATCCGCCCCTCGGGCAACATCTCAGAACAGTACCAGCCCTTCGGGCTCAATATCACATCACAATGGGTACCCGCGCTCACTGGGGGTGTACAGACTCCGGGAGGGGCCCCTTACGGCCCAAGCGCAATATCAAGCCATCTCGTGGCATCAAATCTAGGCCCTCGGCCTCATATCAATCAAGCCACCTCGTGGCGTATACAAGTATCTCAGGCCCTCGGACTCATATCAATACCAGTGCATCCTCACAAATAGGCCCTCGGCCTTAATCAGTCCAAAATCATCACAAGCTCCTGGGCAATAGTAAAACAATATTTCTCAGCCCAAAACATCATTTAAGTCTCGAAACTGAGTAAAAATGGCCGAGTAGTAAAAATAGTGGAAAATAACGGGACTGAGTTCAAGTAATAAGTCAAAACAGTGAGGAAATGGTAATAAAAATCCCCGAAGGGTTCAAATAGTTGGCTCGAAGCCCAAATATGGCGTTCAGCCCAAATAATCATGATAGCAAATAAGTTTCAGTCAAATACGCGGTAAAATCATCAATCGGGATAGACCACAATCCCCAATAGTATACGACCACACGCTCGTTATCAAGCGTGTGTCTCACATCAATATAGCACTACGATGTGCAATTTGGGGTTTCAAACCCTCATAGCATCATTTACAATCATTACTCACCTCGAACCGGTTAAACTCTAGCTCGCGACGCCTTTGCCCCTCAAATTGGCCTCCACGCGCGTCGAATCTATCCAAAATCAGAACGAATACGTCACAATATGCTAAGGGAACAAAGCCCAAGCGAAAACAATTGAAAAATACCAAAATTTCTGAAATTGGCCAAAACCCGAGCCCTGGGCCCACTTCTCGAAACTCAGAAATTTTTACATCAACGGGTTTCTTATCTCCCCATGAGTTCATACATATCAAAAGTTCTCAAATCCAACCCCAAATGGTCCTCCAAATCCCCAATTAGAATTTCAAAATTCCAAGCCCTAGTTCTTCCATTTTTAGCAATAATTCAATGATTTTCTAGGTGGATTTCACAGTATAATCGAGTTTTAGGTCTGAAATTCTTACCGCCAATCAATTTCCCTTGAATCCCTCTTTAATCTCCTTCAATAACCTCCAAAATGAGCAACTATGGGTGAAAATATACCCAAAATCGCGGACAAGAAGACTTAAAAACATTCTGCCCAAGCCTCATTTCCTTCATCGCGATCGCGGCACTTCCCTTGCGATCGCGAAGGACAAATCTCAGCTTCCTAAATTTTACTCTACGCGAATGTGATAACTCTTACTCGAACGCGATGCCTGGCGACTTAACTCTACGCGATCGCGGACACACTAACGCGTTCGCGATGAACAATTATCCATCCAAGACTCAGGTCCATTTAACTCTATGCGAACGCGACTCCCCTCTCGCGTTCGCGAAGAATGCCCTTCCCATGCTACGCGATCGCGAGCTTATATTCGCGAACGCGAAGAACAACTAGACAGCCTCCTCCATTCCTCCTACGCGATCGCGAA